ACAATGAGGTTCCATATTGCCTCCATGAGGTGTAGAGTGCATCCATGAAGGGTGATGCAGTCAGCGCCCGAGGTATGCAGGCACTGACGGGAGCCAGGAGCGTCTTGGTCTTGTTGACATTCAACTGGAAGAAGTTTGCTCTCCTCGGATTTATACAAAATGATTAAGCACTATATTTTATTACTTGCTGCATTCAGTATTTATTATATTATGTATATTGTAGGTAATAAATATTTAGTAAGCCAGATGTTTTTTGCACTAAAGCTATTTGCAGGGTCGTGACAGGCCATCAAGGTTTGCAAATGGGTCCTGAGCCCAAAGAGGTTGGAAAGAAAGAAAAAGGTTCTAGATTAGTAGTCACCCCATAAACCACTAATGTCATCCCATAGATGGGGTGGGGGGCAACATCTTGGCTGCCGAGGGGCACATTCCCTTTTTGAGAAATGTCTGCGGGACATGTAAGCTATATTTTTGTGTTTCCCTTCCAGAAAAATTACGTAAGATTTACACAGCGCCTTTTTCACGTCGGAAGGATGTTTCAAAGCACTCGACACTGCCGGTTCGGGGTGAGAGCTGAGGGAGATGGGCAGGGAGAAAGATGACTGTAAGCCTGGTAAAACAGTTCAGCCTTGAATGAGGGGAAGGAGCAAGTTGGAGGGACTACAGGAATGGAGCTCCAGAGAGCGGGTGCAAAATAGCGATGATGGGGCAGAAGCCGTGTTGGGACATGAATCAAGCCAGGACAGATGGAACAGCCAGGTAAGGAGTTCGCAGAGGTGGGTGGGAGGAGAGAGAATTAAGGACAGAGAAGTTCCTCAGTCGGGAAAGAGGAAGCTTTCTGTGAGGAGACTGCACGTCACGCTCGCTTGGTGTCTCCTCGCTGTAAGATTATATTTGTGATTTTTAATGTTTTTTAAGACTTTTAATTAATCTTTATATGCATTTAAAATGTAACCTACCCATAACTCTTTAATAAGATTTGTTTGATAGAATGACTAGCTTAGCAGGGGTTAAAAGTAGCTTTGCTGGACAGGTTGAGGTCAGCTTCTGATTACATTTCAGATTTTCCTGGGAAGATGTTCACTCCTAGTTTCTGTTGGGTTTCCAGGTGCCACTCTCTGATTCTGTGTGATAGTTCTGTGATCTCTCCAGTGTATGTCAAGGTGTGCTCCCAGGTCTACTGTTTAGTCTGGAGTACGAAACAGTGCCTGGATATATGTTGTCGTCCCTGTATCGTCAGTACTACTGTTGTTGTGTATGTTATGTCCGACGATTTAACAGACGCTGGTCCTGTTTAGTGCATGTATTACCAGAATCAGTTGTCCCTGAGGGATTTCCAGGGCCTGATCGCTGCTGTGTATTTTGAGATGTGTTGTTTGTCTGGAGTACTGAGCAACCCCTGTGTGCATGCTATGTGATAAATGTTTTGCTCACAGATGTGTTGTATTGTTATTGTGTTGTTATATGTTGTATAATTTAATTACAGATTGTTAAACCTTATGTTTCATCTTATGCAATAAACTCTATACTCTTACCACTGCCTGTCAAATTATTTACAGTTTACATCGCCAGTCCCCCACCCCGCGGCAGCCGAGGGAGGCTCCGATCGTCTGTCCTGACAGTGAACCACAAAACGCTGCCCTCACTTTTATCTCTGCTATCTCATTTTTTTATGTCTCTGTCCCCCTCTCCCTCATGCTCTCTCTCAATCACTCTCCCCCTCTCAATTATTCTCTCTCACTCCCCTTCTCACAGCTTTTCTTCCACACATTTTCTCTCTCCCCTCTCATACTCTCTCCCCCCTCAATTACTCTTCCTCCCACCCACCGCACCACCTCACACACTATCATTCCACTTCTCTCCCACACTCTCTCCATTCTCAATCACTCTCTGCTCCCCCAGTCTGTCGCCTTCCCTCAGTTTTTTTCTCTCCCCATCTCCCTCACTCTCTTTCCCAATAACTCTCTACCTGTCAATCACTCTCTTCCCTCCACCCTCTCAATTACTCTCGTACACACACTCTCTCTCACTCCCCCCACTCAATCACTCTTCCCTTTGTTCCTGGATGGAATACTCTGCCAGGTCCCCTGGTTGGACCACGCTGTGAAAGACTATCAGTCACAATAATCGACAGTCGCAGTTGCCTTGCAGACTGACAGTTATCCCATGAATTGCCAATTATCTACAGCTCACCTCTACTGGTTGTCGTATAGATTACCAGTCACTTTTAAGACTATCACAAGCCCCCTTATGGACTACTAGTTACCCCACAAACCACAGCCTTCCTACAGGCCCCCAGTCACCCTATATACCAATGGTCACAATACGGTTGGGATAGATTTCAAACAATAACAAATTGTGTTTAGAGCCTTGCACCATGGGAGGACATCC